TCTCGAGTGTCAGTCCCGCCCAGGGTATAGGCTCGAGGCGTGACACCACACTTGCCTCGCCCCTTTCTTCTTCTTCTTCTTCTTCGAGCTTCCGTCCCCGCCACCTTCTTTCTTCTTTTTCGAATTACCCTCACCCATTCCTTCATTTCAAATTATTCTTGCTTATTCTTGAAAGTGATGAATAAGAAAAAAAATGAAACAGCCAACAACTTATTGTTGCTTCAAGATCTTACTTATGGAAGGGTTTGTTGATTGTGATGAACTTGAAGCTTTTTTTAATTAAAAAAATTATAATTTCTTCATCTCAAATTAGTTTTTTTAATTTGTATTATTTATTTATTTTGATAATGTGCTTTAAAAATTGAATGTTTTCTAGTCTTGGATCCATAGAGTTTGATTTTATTTTTGAGTTTTTATTTTTATAATCTTGGATTAATTCTCAATTTGTTTTTCTATCTTTTACCTTACTAAAATTGTATAAATAAAAAGAAACCAAAAAAATTAAAAAAACTCAAAATTTAAATAATTTTCAAGGTGGTGTTGACGTGGCAATGAAATGGCACATGTGTGTAATACACTTGCCATTGTGAGACTGGTATTGTAGTGTTAGGGTTGAAAAAAATTACTTCAAAGATGTTAAGGGGGTATTTAAACGCCGTGTAGTTTAAGTGCTAAAGTAAGTTGTACTGCCAAGTTCAATGGGTTTTTATGTGTTTTCTCTAATATTAATGACATTACTTGAACAAGAGAGCTTCCTTAGCTTGTTGGTTTGTCACGCTTGAACTCGATCATATATAAAACCACCAAAAATACCAATAAAAGAATAATTTATCTGGCCTAGGAAATAATAATATATGTATAGGAGATATAAACATATAATAACCAAAATAAAAAAGTTGTAAGTAACTGTAGAGTAGCGGAAAAAATTAGCGAGAAATTTAAATTATGAACAAAACGGAATGGAATTGGAGTTGTCGAATTTAGTAATGGAACAAAACTATGTAGTTAATTGAGAGTCTTCCTGACTATTGTCGCATTGGACGAGATATATGGCGTGTTAGAGCTCCAATTTTTTGTTGGGATGTCGTCGAGGTTCACTTGCCTGACGGAGTTATGAGGCAATTTCGGTTGAAACAGATGATACCAACTCCATTTTTATTTGATTCGACACATTTTCACCATGATGGTCGAGGAAGACCAAAGACAAATTGGGAGTTGGAACATGCACAATGATTGCCTTTTTGGAACCAACGACTTCAATATATTTGTGATGCACCAATTAATAATCATGAACCAGTTCGATATGATGACCCCTACCTTATTTGGTTTAGACGCATTACTCATCTTGTTATTGGTAATCCTACTCTGCATCCTCAATAACAACAAGGTTATGTGTCAAATTCAACGGCATACGAAACAATGGTAAGTATAAGCTTATGTTATTTTGCTTGTTTGAACTGATTATAATAAGTAGTTTATTTGTGTACTAAGAGACTTACTATGATCCAACGATAACCTATTAAGGTTTATATGTCATTAGCATTTGTCTGCCAACTCCCATAATAAGCATTTTTGTGCAACAGAAAGACTTAGAATCTAACAAAAATTGTGTGAGTAGTTTGGCAATTAATATTTTAAATCTTTGTCCAGAATTTTGTGTAATGCACCAACCCATTGTAATGTTACTGATATGCTGAAAATAATTATCATATATATCCTGCTACTTAGGTTAGATATACATTACAGTAGTTGTGCACTATACAATAGCTAATTAAAAGGAAACAATTCTTAACAGAGAGACTAGTTGTGTGCAGTAGTTTAGCTACATTATATTTAATGAATTATGTACAATATGCAGGTGCGTTATATTCATTAATTCAATGGTTGATAAAGCAAAATCACTCGGTGATCAACCATCAATGGAGGATTTTTACATGTTTCGTGCAATGGTGCGGAATGAAGGAGAAAGATGCTTGACATATGTGCACGAGGTTTATAGGATCAATGTACAAGCTGCCGATTATATTATATAAGAGATGATGTACAAGCTGACCATTTAATTTACATCACCCTATTCGTAGGCGTCGTTGCTGGTAGGAGGGCATGTGCTGCTGAGAAAGGACGAGTTCCTGTTGAAATAGACGGACGAAGATGCCTCAGAAGATGATCAAGCAACTGGTGATATTGGTTCCAGTTCAAGGGGTCACACTCATCAGGAATTCACTCCTGTGGCATCAGGTATGACATATCAACCAACAAATTTTGAGATTGTCCCATACATGACGCCACAAATTTCAAGGGATCCAAGTCTTTCGTCACTTGAGAATGTCTTTGGTAATTATCGCCCTCAACATTTTGAGAATGCCCCAAATTTTACCATGGAGATCCCTGATGCCATGACTAATTTAGAGGACTCCAACATCGAGATAGAAGGTAATGAGTACGTTGGATGATTCCAACAATGAAGTGGATGGTAATGATCCCGAGAATGCAAGTGGAGGTGGTGAACCATCATTGAAGAAGAAACGTACAATTTTTCCTAAGCTTTGTGGCACTAGTACAATTTTTTCTAAGCTTTGGTGAGCCATTATTTCTTGACGTACACAACTGCTTCTTTTTTGGTTGAATAATTAAAAATTATTTTTACTTGCCAGGGAATCATCATCTTAACCAACACAGCATAAAGAAAACAACAAAAGGTAACAAAGACACTGTAGCAACAAAAAGAAGAAGCAAAGAGTAAAATCACAAGGCGAAGACTCCCAGTAAGCTTACTACTCTGTGAGACTGCAAAAACAACCATATTTGTAGTTGATTTTTCTTTTAAAGCTTGGTTTTCCAGGAGTCTTTTAACTTTTAACTACTAGTATCTTTTATTTTTCATTTAGTTTATATGATGGCATGCATGAGATAAATTTAAATGGAGAAACATGGTCAGTGATGATTCATATACCTACACGTAACTAATTGGTATTAATGTGCATTTGGTTGTGTCCTGAATCTGGTATGACTTATTACTGTGTCCTGGCTGGTCTGATGAAGTCAAAAGAGGTAGAAATGATGCATACTCTCTTCTGTAACTAAATTTTATTGTATAGTAACCATTGGGAGGCCTCATTATATTCTTTAACTATTCATTACGTAGATACATTATATTGGTGTGTACACCAATCTTGTATTAGCTGTGTAATTGACAAAAAAAAGAGCATAAGGCTTATTATTAACACTAGAGAGGAGAAAAATTTATGACATTAAAGTTATTGCTAATTAGACATCCTTGAGTTACATTATAGTAGATATATAATTGAAAGGGAATTAACACAACTGGACATCCACCCATAACTAGAACTTTGAATTCTTAAGAAACGTTTTTGTATGTAACATTAGTATGAGTGACATTTTAAATTTGCAGGAGATTCTAAATTTGCAGGTGGCCCGTGAATTCTTAATAAACGTGACTTTGAGTAACGTTTTACACCTAAAACGTTACTGATCATAGTAACGTATTATAAAAACGTTACTCAGAGTTATGTATTAGGCTAAAAACGTTACTTTGAGTAACGTTTCTATACTTAACACCGTCAACTACAATATGCCGCATAGTTGGTCCTAAAACGTTATTGAGAAATACGTTTATACTACTTTTGTAAAAAAATTAAAAAACATACTATTTTGGTGAATTGCTTTAAATAATGGCTTAATTTAGTCAAAAATTCCATACTTGTCACTTTACTACAATTAGTGAAGATGTTAGTCCTTCCGTGAGCTTCAATCTACGATAGAAATCACCAAAGAAGTTTGTATTCTTTCTATTATCATATTGAAACAAATCCTAATTCTCAATACAAATAGATAAACATTATATTCGTTGATAACCAAATTATAATAACAACACGTGAATTACAAAGAGAAGTACTGTAATAACAAGTAACTAAAGATAGAGCTAAGAATGGGGATGAGAAGTTAACACTCTAGAAAGAAGATGAGAGGAAAGACAGTTTCTTCATAATACACATAATTTCCCAAAACCACATATGACAACCATATAAACTCTATTCAACCTGGATCCCAAGCCAAAATAGTATAAGGCTGTCTAATTCTTGGGCCTCTGTGTAGCTTAGCCCCAGGCCCAACAGTTCAAGGACCATCCGCATTCACAACAATACTTCACGCCTCAAAAAGAACATCGTCCTCAAGGTTCGAGTAAAGCATAAATTGTAGTTGTATCTGCTCAATATTGTTAATAGCAAGTAAGCAATTCTTAGAAACTTCTTTGCATCTATTTTCAGTCATGATAATATAGCAATGGGAATCATCATCTTCCACCAATAAGAGCAATATTGATATATGTGAATTTGCACCTAAAATAATTTGCACCAAACTTGATCGACCAAGCCTATTTGCAATGATCACATAATAGACATTTTCATCTTCAAACTTAGACTCTTCTATTAAGTTGAGATATTGCAGCCCATGTTCAAGCTTTAAGAGATTTGTTTCCACCTTTCTCTTCCATCATTCTTTATTAATAGTAGATAAGGCCAAACTATTACTATGTTGATGCCACTTTATTATGGTTGAATTAGGAATTGCCACCCAAAAACAAAGCATCATTAAATTATTGGATTCCTTGTACATGTAGCAAGTGAACTCATCTTTGTAATAACTGATGACCATCGGCCAACACATCACAGTAAATATATAAGCATATCTAGAGTAGCTCTATGTCATTCCACACCCAACATATCTCAATTGAGAAATCATGTATTGTTCTTCAAGGTGAGTTTGAAGGCCATAAAGAGAAAACCTCAATATAAGGTTCCACAATAGCTTGTAAGTCACACGAGGAGTTATCACATTACCGTTGCTTGTAACATTCATATTTTAACACCTCCTACATGCTCCCAATTATACAACTTCACAAGTAAGAAACTCTTCCTTTTTTTAATCTCTTCAAACAATGCACGTGCCTTTACAATCTTATTAGAACTTGTTAGAATCTAGAACTCAGAACTAATTCCGGGATCCCATACATAGAGATGTAATGCAATTTTTTGAACATGAACAACAAAGGTAGTCGCACTAAGGTTCAACAATAGATTACCTTCATCGTGTTCTTCTCCCCCATAAGTGAGATTTGATGCAATTCCTTGAACATGAACAATGAAGGTAGTCGCACCAACGTTTAGTAAATTACCTTCATCATGTTCTTCTCCCTCATAAAAGTTGCCACACTCTGCATAAGGTATTATTTCATCAGCAGAAATCGCACCTTCCAAGGTCTCAATTTCATGAGTGTGTTGTTCATTAGAGCCACGATCAAGATCAATTGCATTAACGTACCTCTATAACAATTCTCTTTGGGGATGTTCATTGAACAATTGGACTGCAATACTTTTAATATTTGTAGCCTCTTCACTAACCATTTCAATTGGAATGTCTGATTGCGTCTCAACAAATAATGTGGAAAAGTAACCAGACAACTTTTTGTCAAACACCTTGTGCGCATTCATTTTTCTTTTGCGTTCAGATTTCTCCTTATAGTTTTGAAGCACAGATGAATTGGTTATATTGCTCCACTCCTGAAGATTTGACAAGCTTTCTTTTGGCAATTTGAGATGGCATTTATGAAAACGAATCAGCACTTTCTCAGTAAAATATTTCCAATCCGCCAACTCTTTGTTTTGGAAAAGCCACTGATACCACTGTAAAGCTGTCCCATCGAGATTGCATGACGCAAGATCTAACTTGTGGTTTTCTGTAATCTCATAAAACTTAAAGGATCGTTCAGCCTGAGAAATCCATAACTCTGGATTCTCGCCACAAAATCGTTGAAATTCCACAGTTCCAGGTTTACTAATAGTAAGGGTTCCAACCAACTCGCGTAACATTGAATGAATATCAGTGAGATCCTTTGACAAAGTATCCTTCATGACCTTAATTGAATCTTTGATTGTTCGATATATTTGGTCCTCCATTGAAGACCTCTGGATGAAAGCACCAATGAAAGAAACTCGAATTCTTAATACACATACATAAACATTAAATTCATTGATAATTACATTATAATAACAACACTTGAATTACAAAGAGAAGTACTGAAATAACAAGTAACTAAAGATAGAGATAAGAATGGGGATGAGAAGTTAAGACTCTAGAAAGAAAATGAGAGAAAAGACAGTTTCTTCATAATACGCATAATTTTCCAAAACCGCATATGACAACCATATAAACTCTATTCAACCTGGATCCCAAGCCAATTTAGTATTGAGCTGTCTAATTCTTGGGGGGCCTCAACGTAGTTTAGCCCCAGGCCCAACAGTTCAGGAACCATCCGTGTTCACAACAAATACCCTACAATAAACAAAAGAAATCGAGATCCATACAAATAACAAAAAAGAGAGTATATTACTGAATCTGTGAGCTTCAGAGGAGAAGAAGAGGAAATCTCCACCAATCACTTGCACGAGATTTCGTCGGAGGAGAATAGGGTTTGAGAGAGGAAAAGTGATGAACAAGGAAAAAATCACTAAAGTTGACTTCTATTTTTGGAAATTTTACCAAAATTGTATTCATGTCTAAATAGGATTTGTATAGTCAAAACAATATTGGACTTATAAATAGACTTCATTATAACGCTAATTTTGGACAAATTAAAATACTTCGATGGATTCAATACTTGTATCAAAACCTAAGTATCCTAGAAACAATTATAATTCCGCCCAAATTCTTCCCAATGATATCATAATTGATATACTCGCACAACTTCCAGTGAAATCACTTATCAGATTCAAAGGCGTTTGCAGATCATGGTATTCATTAAATAAAGATGAAAAATTTGTCAAGCAACACTATGATACTCACAAAAATTGTCAAAAGTACTTTATGATTTCGAGGGGACACACGATTTTCCACCACTACACTATGGACGTCCCTCAACTTGATTCTAGTAGTATAGTCTCTCTTGTCGAGTCTCCGGTTCCAATCGATCAGTCACGAAAGATATTCCCTAGCATACAATATTTTTCATGTAATGGGATACTTCTTATAACATATACTGATAAAATAATCATGTTGTGGAACCCGGCCACTAGAGAATCAAGAAGAATCCCTAGTCCAGTTTGGAGCAAGACCTGTGGTCTTTATAATTTTTGCTACTTTCCGCATATTGAAGGCTACAAAATATTTAGACTAGGACTTGGTATTGATATTGATTACATGAATATTGATATATTTTCAACGAAAAGTAACAAGTGGAAATCGATTGGGATGTTTCCTCCAAATTATTATTTCTCAGGTGGTAACGTTGTTATGGTAGATGGGATGGGATTATTTATATGATGACAAAGAGGAAGGAAAATTTATCTAATTGTACTATATTACGTTTTTGTTTGGAGAAGGAACAATTTCAAGAGGAGTTATTGTTTCCATACGCAATACCAAGGAGAAGAAATGTTTTGTATTCTCTAGGAGAAAAACTTGGTTTGATTAGATTATTGGAAGGTGATCAAATGATTTGTGAGTTTTGGTTGTATATGATGAAAACAAATTCATGGAATAAGATATTGACACTTCCATTAACTCTGGAAAATTGTGTGAAACCTTTGAGTTTTATGAAGAATGGAGGCATGATGTTTCAAAAGTCCGATAGCTCTGGATTCGTGGCTTACAATTCAACAACACACAAATTGGAACAAGTTAATGTAGCTGGAATTGCAGGACTTTACTTCATTAATGTTATAACCTACGTGGAAACTTTATCGTCTCTTGATTGGTGATTAGAGACATAACATACCTGCGGACATTCACGTGAGAATGCAAAGATACATCCCCTTGTTTCAAATTTATTATTAGTTTTTTCATCAAAGTCATTTCTTCATCATGTTTTTTTTTTTGTAAAATCTAACTCCTTTTATTCATTTATCTCTTGTTATGCGTAGCGTCATAATAATATATCATAAGGAAGATTTACCATCTTGAATTTAGAGAACTTCTCAAGTGTTCACTATATTGATGATAAAACCATTCATGAGAAGTATATATTTATTTGATCAACTTGAATAAGTTTTTGATTCATCAAATTAAATCATACCTCTTCTTTTGAAAGAAGTCAATAAAAAGTAAAAATATGGACTAATAGAGTTGAGATTAGGGGTGTACATGATCGGGCTGGTTCGGGTTTTTTTAAATATCAAACCAAACCATTTGTGTCGGATTTTTAAATCTATAAACCAAACCAATAAAACTCGAGTTTTTCAACCTCGGGTTTTTTCGGATTTTATTGGGTTTTTCAGATTTTCGGGTTTTTTTGGGTTTTTCCGGTAAAGTATTCATACAAACATATAATTTAGTTGTACTTCAAATATTTCTTTATTCCTACCAAAATACAACTATCTAAGGTGTTTCTTAAGAAAATAACACAAAATATGATATGAGTAATGACACTAAAATATCCAACAAAAAAATAATAATAATGAAATTGCGTAAAACAAATATTGCAAATTAACATGTCATAATGAAAATGATCATAATTTAAAAGTACTAAATCATGCTAAAATAAGTTTAATAAGTATTAGTTACATGACTAAATATTAAAGGAAATTAAAATTAGATTATGTATTTGAATTGTCTAAACCAATGTAAAACCAAAGAACAAATATTCAATATTATTGTCATTCTTAGTGTTGAATTGATTTTCTTTTTGCATTAGTATTAATTTGATTTTGATTTAAGCTTTATTATAATTATCAACATCTGTGAACTATAATCTTTATTGAACCATTCAGAATTCTAAGTTTCAAACTTGAAATAATATATTAAAAGATAAAAACTATGAAAAAGTATAAGAAATATTTAAAAATTATATCAAAGTAAATATTTTTATGTATAAAATAAAATTTTAAAATTATATATATAATGTCGGGTTGTTTTTTTTTAGTTAAAACCAAACCAACCCAAATATAATTGGATTTTTTTTCCAATACCAAACCAAGTCAAACCAACCACTCGTCGGGTTTTTTTTCTTGATTTGCGTTGTAATTCGGTTTTCGGTTCGGTTTTGTACACCCCTAGTTGAGATATACATAAGAATGTTTTGAGCATTAAAATTTAAGGAGAATACAAGAGTAACGGGTGCCAATGGCAGACCTACCCTATATATATATAAAGTACAAATAATATTAATGACACTACTAAAAGATCAAAATATAAGTACAAATAATATTTTAATGACACTACTTGAACAAGTGAGCTTCCTTGGCTTGTTGGTTTGCCACGACCCAACTCGATCATATATAAAAGCACCAACAATACCGATAAAAGAGTAATTTATCTTGCCTAGAAAATAATAATATCTTGATAGGAGATATAAACATATAATAACCAAAATAATTTATATTATTAGTATATTCATATATGAAGTAGGAAACCAAGTAAAAAAAGAAAAGAAAAAAGAAGCAGGAAACCAAAATTGTATTTATGTCTAAATAGGGTTTGCATCAAGCCCTAAGTACCGTAGAAACAATTATTTGGACATAATTTATATTTTTAGTATATTCATATATGAAGTAGGAAATCAAAATGGTATATGTTTATGTCTAAATAGGATTTGTATAAATAGACATGCTACGGCTTAATTATTTGGACAAAATAAGTGATCAATGGATTCAGTATTTGTATCAAATCCTAACCCTAGCATTGTTTCCGCCCAAAATCTTCCTCATCATGATTGATATACTCACAAAACTTCCTGTGAAATCACTTATAAGGTTAAAAAACTCTTGCAAATCATGATACTCTTTAATTAAAGATGACAAATTCGTCAAACAACACTATGATCCTCACAAAAATTGTCAAAAGTACTTTATGGTTTCTAGCAAATACAATATGAAGCACCAATTTTGATGACATATTTTTTGTTATTTTCCTCGTATTTATGAGTACAAAATATTTAGACTAGGTGGTTACAAGGAGATTGATATATTTTCAACGAAAAGTAACACGTGGAAATATATTGGTCTATTTCCTCCAAATTATTATTGTTTCTTTGGTACTAGTACTAGTGTTGTTATGGCAGATGGGGTAATTTATATGATGGCGAGTAGGACGGAAAATGGTGATCGCGTTATTACTATAGTACGTTTTTGTTTGGAAAAGGAACAATTTCAAAATGAATTATTATTTCCATGTATGGTGGAAGGGAGAAGACCTATTTTGTATTGTTTTGGAAAAAAACTTTGTTTGACTATGACATTTGTAGATTATGAATTTTGGTTGTATACGATGAAAACAAATTCATGGAATAAGATATCAACAATGTCAATACCTTACAATATTTGGTTGAAACCTTTGTGTTTTATGAAGGATGGAAGCATGATGTTTCAAAGGAACAATAGCTCTGGATTTGTGGCTTACAATTCAATAACACATGAATTGGAACAAGTTAATGTTATTATTGGGATTGAAGCAAATATTTACTTCAATAAGGTTGTAACCTATGTGGAAACTTTGTCCTCTCCTAATTGTTAAAGGTCGAAGATTAGGGTAGAAGGTTAGTATGTAGTCGAGTATTCTCTAGTTTTTCTATCAGTAATGTTATTATTACTCTTCTAATGTCTTATTCTTCTATTGATCTAGTGTTACATGTTGTTTCCTTTGCTAGTTTTAGTTGTGTACATTTGTTATGTGATGACTATGAGTTGGATTGTTAGTTTCTACATCTGATGGTTGCATATATAGGATGAGTTGAAGCGGAGGGGTTATTTTTTTATAACACGTAGGAAACCAAAATTGTATTCATGTCTAAATAGGATTTGTATAGTCAAAACAATGATATCATAATAATAATTTGTAAGGAATATTTACCATCCTGAATTTAGAGAACTTCTCAAGTGTTCACTATATATAGTGATGATAAAACCATTCACGACAAGTATATATTAACTTTGATCAACTTGAATAAGTTTTTGATTCATCGAATCATACCTCTTTTGAAAAATATCAATAAAAAATAAAAATATGAACTAATAGATTTGAGTTATACGTAACGATATTTTGAGCATTAAAATTTAAGGGGAATACAAGAGTAATGGGAGCCAAGGCGGACCCACCCTCCTATGTCGAGCAATTTAATGTTGAACGACACTTCTTTGTTGAAAACATATATATATATATATATATATATATATATATATATATATATAAATCAGAATATAAGTACAAATAATATTAATGACACTACCTAAACATGTGAGCTTCCTTGGCTTGTTGGTTTGCCACGCCCGAACTCGATCATATATAAAACCACCAACAATACTAATAAAAAAATAATTTATCTGGCCTAGGAAATAATAATATCTGGATAGGAGATATAACCATATAGGAATAACCAAAATAATTTTTATTTTTAGTATATTCATATATGAAGTAGGTAACCAAAATTGTATTTATGTCAAAAGAGGATTTGTATAATATTAAAAACAATATAGTACGCAACATGTTTAATTTTGTAGTTTACCTTTAAAATTGGTTTACGTATTATTTGGACAAAATAACATTATGGATTCAATATTTGTATCAAACCCTAAGTACCGTAGAAACAATTATCCCACCCAAAACATTCCCAATGATATCATAATTGATATACTCGCGGAGCTTTCCGTGAAATCACTTATAAGGTTCAAAAACGTTTGCAGATCATGGTATTCTTTAGTTAAAGATGACAAATTCATCAAGCAACACTGATAAAACTGTCAAAAGTTCTTATAGTTTCTACCATACACATGAAGAATCAATTCGATTTCTACCACTACACCATGGACGTCCCTCAACTTGATTCTAGTGTTATTATGGTAGATGGTGTTATTTATATGATGGCGAGTAGGGCGGAAAATGATGATCACATTATTACTATAGTACGTTTTTGTTTGGTAAAGGAACAATTTCAGGATGAATTATTATTGTTTCCATGTATGATGGAAGGGAAAAGACCTATGTTGTATTGTGTAGGAGAAAAACTTTGTTTGAAATTGGTAGATTATAGTCAAAATCATGAATTTTGGTTGTATATGATGAAAACAAATTCATGGAATAAGATGTCAACAATGTCAATACCTCCCAATGTTTGGTTGAAACCTTTGAGCTTTATGAAGGATGGGAACATGATGTTTCAAAAGTACCCTGGCTCTGGATTTGTGGCTTATAATTCAACTACACATAAATTGGAACAAGTTAATGTTACTGGGATTGAAACAAGCTTTTACTTCGATAAGGTTGTAACCTATGTGGAAACTTTGTCCTCTCCTAATTCCTAAATATTGGAAGGTTTACAAAGAGTGTAGAGGTGAGTCGAAGAAGTCTTGAAGTAAGATGTGATTAGACTGGACATGAAACATGTGTTGCTTATCGATGACATAACCCTAGATAGGAAGATATAAAAGCCGAAGATTAAAGTAGTAAGTAGTAGAGTATTGTCTATAGTACTTCTTTTAGTATTCTTATTTTTACTCTCACATTGTCGTATTCTTCAATTTTAGTGTTATATGTTGTTTCGTTATTTTATATGTTTTGTTGTTACTACTTGTTTTTTTCTTTATTGTTTTCAACATAGTTTCTTCGCTACTTTAAACAAATCTGTATCTTCACCTAAAAAAGCTCATCAACGTTGTTTATATAGTTTGTTCATATATATACAATCCATCTAATTTGACAAATAAATCCATAATTATGTGAATAAGCAACAATAAAATATTGCTTTTACATCTTTTATCGGGTTAACTTATTAATTGCGACTAATACAAGTTTATTTAGGATTCTTACCTGGTTTTTCAAAAATAAAAGTCGATTCTTTTACACTTTCTTCGTCATTATTTTCATACTACTTCTCCAACAACTCCATTGAAGTAATTTGAGACAATTATCAATAATAATTTTTTACTCATAAAAAATTTATTCATAACTTATTAGGTAATTTGAGACAATAATCAATGAACACCATTAATATATATATTACACATCAGGGTATTTCTCGTGCACTTATATTGCAAAGCACTTCCAGTCCTTTAAAGTAAATCACTGCCAACAAATATAAAGCTAATCTATCAAACTTTTCCAATTTACTGAAAAGTTAATAAAAAGTATTCTCTACAAATTACTGTCACCACAAAACATAAAATTCTTCATAAGTTGAAACAAGATTTTTTTTTTTGAAATAATGTTCAATTTTTTCTTTGGTACAATCGACTTTGAGTGTTCTTTAAATTGGAGTATATATAGTGGTATATGGATCAACGTTTGTTTTCAGTTAATTTGTATTGTTGATTGAATGAACTAAGAAGAGAAAACACAACCTAAAGCAATGGAAAAGCACCTACCCAAACACTTTTTTGTTTGCAAAGAAGACTTAATAAGTTATGAATAAAAAAATTTATGAGTAAAAAGTTATCATTGATGATTGTCTCAAATTGCTTCAAATGATGTATGTGAGTTGCTTCAATGATGTTGTTGGAGAAAGAGTGTAATAATGACAAAAGATCCATTTTTATTTTTGGTAAATCAAGTAAGAATCCTAAACAAAACTTGTATAATTAATTTAAAGTCCAAGTTACCACATAATACTCTTTTTATTATTTTTATTTAAATATTAACAGTATGTAAATATATTAAGAGGAAAAAAATAAATATTTCGACCATATACGATAGAAGGGAAAAGACACGGTGTGTATTGTGTAGGAGAAAAACTTTGTTTGAGTAGGACATTGGGAGATCATAATCACCAAATTGGTGAATTTTGGTTGTATATGGTGAAAACAAATTCATGGAATAAGATATTGACAATTCCATTAATTCAATTTATTTGTTTGAGACCTTTATGTTTTATGAAGGATGGAAGCATGCATGATGTTTCAAAGGAACAATAGCTCTGGATTTGTGGCTTACAATTCAATAACACATGAAAGGTCGAGGATTAGGATAGAAGGTTAGTAGGTAGTAGAGTATTCTGTAGTTTTCCTATCAGTAATGTTATTATTACTCTCCTAATTTTACATGTTTTTTCCTTTGCTAGTTTTAGTTGTGTACATTTGTTGTTGCTACTTGTTCTTTTCTTAATTGTTTTCAATATGTTTTTTTCGCTTCTTTATTTGTTTTATTTACTTGTTTTTTTGGAATATGATTTGCTTGAGTCGAGAATGTATTGAAAACAACCTGGTAAACTCATCGCCGTCGTTACATAGTATATTCATATATATGCAATCCATTTTCAGCTTGCTCATCTAAAGGAGAAGACATTAGTACGTATATACGTGTGCAACTCTCAGTATCAACAGCTAATCAACCATCAAAACTTCACTCGATGATCTCGTTATCGTGGAGGTTAAAACTTCACTCAATCTCGTTATTATTGAGGTTAAAACTTCACGTGATCTCGTTATCTTTGAGGTTAAAACTTCACTTGAACTCGTTATAGTTGAGGTTGAAACTTCACTTTATCTCGTTATCATTGAGGTTAAAACTTCACGTTATCTCGTTATTGTTGAGACTAAAACTTCACTTGATCTTGTTATCATTGAGGTTAAAACTTCACTTTATCTAGTTAGCATTTCGACGCAATAGTTAACTCGACATCAAAGTTCCTAAAGTATTCCTAAGATAAAACTATGTTCTCAACTTCTAAAAAATAACTTCTCCTACTCCTCAAAAATAAACTGTAAGTTATGCCAAACCCTCAACTTTTATATATATATATATATACACTTTAAAATTATTAAAAATATAAAAAAAAATGATTAAATAAAAAGTTCCGTTACCGGGAATCGAACCCGGGTCTCCTGGGTGAAAGCCAGATATCCTAACCGCTGGACGATAACGGATTGTTGGATATAAGCTGATGCAAATTTTATTTAAATCTTATATCTTATGGTATAGAAAGTTGTTGGTCAAAAATAAATTTGTGGTCTGACTAATCTGGATTCGAGTCAGTAAGTCCATTGAGGGTAAACGTTTTCTTTCAAACATGACTTCATACCCAAAGTACGAATCTGAGACCTTTAATTAGAGATTGAGGAGTATAAGTAAACCTCTTAGTTTTTTTTTTCCCTTAATAAATGAGCTTAAGTTGTTCATTAGTCTATTAGATATTAATTAACTTGGAAAAGAATACAATGTATCTTAAATTAATTATAAAAAATAATATATTATATTTCATATACATATATAATTATATATTTGTGTATATAATTTATAGATTCAATTTAAATTTAGATAAACCAAACCAAACCAAATATATATCATTTGTCTTTAAAAATGTAAACTAAATAAAAATCGATTTGAAAATTCCTCTACGTTTTTTTCCTATTTATAATTTATATATATATATATATATATATATATATATATATATATCAAAATTTGATCCAACGGGCTAATATACTTCTTTTTTTTATTAAAAAAAAAAAACTCAAAATTTGAACTGGCCCACATAATTTGGACAGATGAAATAGTTATATTCCTATCTATATATTACGGTTAGTTGTAAAAAACCTATAAACCTGGCCTGGCTGTTGAAGATAATAATATTTTCAAGAATCTTGTTTTTTTTTGTTTTTTAATATATATTTTTCCTTCATAAATTTTTGTCTATTGATGAAAAAATTGCAAAGATATGAGAATTAGGTCATGGGGAAATATGTCAAGTGTGATGACACTATTACTATTTTTACATTTTTTGCAAGGAATTTATGGGATTAGATTTGTAATTGACAAAGAAGAATGTTTGTCTCACAATGTTCATCTTGAAGGTGATACTATTCATGTATCTTTTGTTGTCGTTCAAGCTGATACTCCTTGGCATTCTGCTAATGAGGGTGGTGTTGATCTTATGGTACTTAATTTCTTTCCCCTTTTATGTATAATCTTTCGTTATCGGATTAATTTCACATATGATCATCGAACTACGAGTGATGTGTGGATATGGTTATGTTGTGTTGATGATTTGACATATGAAGGAAAATAAGTCGGCTTCTTACTTATTTTGGCGGAGCTAGCTAGAGACGAGGGGGTTATCTGAACCCTCTTCGGCGAAAAATTACACTGTTTAATATGGTTAAAATAGTTTTTTTTTTAAGTATATAAAGTAGATGTTGAATTGAACCTCCTTTGGCCACTTCATGTGCTTACTTTTTATATTTTGAACTCTCTTAGTGAAAATTCGGACTCTTTCAATATGAAAGGAAAAAAAATATTATCTTAAGAATATTTGTAATCTCATATATAGGATATGGCACAACAGCTTCATATGGATGTGGAGACGACGTTAGATAGGAGGTTATGGAGTTTGAGGATTAGGGTAGAAGGTTAGTAAGTAGTTGAGTGTTGTCGTTTTCTGTGTGAGAGAGAGGAGGTGGGATAGCCTCTTCCGATCTCCTCTTGTCCTACTAGTAGTATTATTTAGTTATCGCGTAATTTTGTATTCTTTGATGTGTGTTACTATTTGTTGATGCATTTATTTGTAACAAATTTCAGTTTTATGAATTTGCTGCACTAGACCCTTAGTTTGATGGAAGGGGAGCCTTGGAGCAATTGTAGAGTTGTATCCGTGTGACCAATAGGTCACATGTTCGAGCAGTTGAATCAGTGAACGATGAATTAGTCAAAGTACACACAAGTTCGGCTTGAACCACCATTATTAGTAAACAAATTGTTTTTAATGCAAGTTTTGAGCATGATTTGTTGAATGGTGAAATGGGATTAGTGTAGTCAATCCTTATTATATAAGAACATCTCTTACTTGAGCCGAGGGTCTTTCAGAAATTAACCTCCACGTTATCGTTAACTAACATAGTATTCGATCTGACACATCTAAACAAAATTGAATGTTTACGTTGTCGTTTAATTGTTTGTTCCCTTTCAGTCATTGTACTCTCTGTTATTGTTCTCAATCTATTACAATTTTCAGATAAAAGGGCCATCAGGTGAGCTAATTCATGGCTTCCGCGACAAGACTAGTGAGAAATACGAGTTTGTTGCTTACAAGAAGGGTATTTACCAGTTCTGTTTCATGAATAAGTCTCCGTATCATGAAACCTTAGATTTTGATGTGCAAGTTGTACATTACACATACTATGATCAGCACGCGAAGAATGGTAATAACTCCTCTTGGACTCTGTCATTTCGCTTCATCTTTTCTTTAGTTCTGTTGCTATACTTACTAACAAGAACAAAATTTCGCGCAAATGCCTACAGAGCACTTTGATCCATTGCTGGACCAGCTATCAAAGTTAGAAGCAGCTCTTTACAACATACAGTTTGAACAGCATTGGCTAGAAGCACAGACTGCTCGTCAGGCATTACGTATGATTTTCTTATGACTTTCACTGCTTCACTTCTGACTGTTGATGTCTCTTCACGGATAATCCTCAGTTCATGAGCTAGTTGGATTTGAGTTATGCCTAAGGTCTAGACTCTAGAGTCGTATGTTGGTTGAGGCTATGAGTAGTTTGTCTCCTTATAATGGTCTTAGACGATCATTATCTTATGATCTAGTTACTGGAGTCGAGTTAGGACCAAGATCCATTTTCTTCATAGCTAAGAAGCACGTGTTCTCTTTAGGCAATATTGTCTATAGTCTAACTATTTCTTTTGTTGGAAATGCAGTGAATGAAGGTATGAGCCAAAGAGCAATCACAAAGGCACTTCTTGAATCCGTAACTCTTGTTGGTGTCTGCTTCCTTCAGGTCTTCCTCTTACAACGCCTTTTCGAAAACAAGCTTCAGACGGTTAGAGTCTAGACTGCCCTGCTGGAACTAGCCATCAGACACGTCGGAAGTTCACAGTTAATCAGTTAAAAGACCGCGTTTAAAAACCAAAATAATCTGTTTTTCCAGAACTTGTGTAGTGAAACAGTGAGATGTTAATTTCACAGAGGAAATTTCAAGATTTATACTCTACGGTTTCAACCTTTAAGGTTCTCAGCATTAAACTCGTTGTATTTTTCAGAATTATGAGTTCATATATACTATTTGTTGCAATTTTAATGAATTTCTACACATAAACTTTTGCTCGATTGCTCGTAGAGAAGGTCCACCACAAGGCTGCTTCTGCCTATGGTGTTAGATATACGTTTCAAAACTCACTCTCTCAACTCAAAATGTACATTGTTTAAATTTTGAATCCGACATTTGATTTCGTTGAGCATACATACAGCTTGGACGTCTGTATTGCTTCAGATATTCGCGATCATTGAAAGGAAATGTCAATCGAGAAACATCAGCATGAAACAAGTAAAAGTAATGACAACAAAAACCAACCTCCCAAATCCTTGGCAAGAAAATGGGAAGATAATCGATTATTATAAACTCGAGATTAGAAAAAAGTCCAGCACTGATGCTGCAATAAGTTCTGGTAGCAAAAACTGTAATTTCATTTCAGTTGTTTATAAATGACAGAGTTTTATTCCACCGGGATCGATCCATCATAGCTTGACTACAGCTCCACAAAAAAGTTTTACTTTCCATTGCAGTGTCTAGGAGCAAACAGAGTTCATCACTCGACAGCACCAGACCGCATACAGCAGAACCATTTCTTCTGAAAAAGTAACATGTTCACAAGGTTATTTATCGCGAACTTATGAAATCTATTGCAAACATTCTTTGATAAACAAGTGGTATTTTGATAACCGTGCCTCCCACCAGCAAAAAGATACCAGTACTAACACTGTCCACTAAGGATAAAACAAATAGGAAGAAATCACCTAGTGTTTAGTCTCTGTTGGGATTAACCCACGTCATTGACCACTAGACCAACCCTTGAGTGCGAGACTCCTTGAGTGGTTTACTCAACCCAAAAGTTAGCTCATGGGCAAAAATTGTCGAAAAACATATAAGGATACAACAATGCACTCCCTCAACCAATGTGTATGCCCCACGCATACACAAGGCTAGACATTTTATGTAAAGTATAACACATTAATGTAGAGAGACAACGTTCATGAAATGATTTCCTCGAACCATCACAAGATGGGGAATGGATGACATAAACTTGTAGCCATAGAGTCAGCAAGAACTTACAGATTGAGGCTTCCCAAGCGTTGCTGTATGCTTGTGATTACTCTTTGGTGGTGCGTCTGCCTTTCCACCCGACCTTTTCTCATTTCTAGCTTTGTTAAAGATCACCGTGAACCCCTCAGCTGTAGCTGGGTCATTGACATCCCACTCACCAAATTTTGGAAGTGGTCGTCCTGCTTCCTACAAAAGAAAGAACGAAAAATGCATCTCGAATAAACCATCAAAGTTGAACAAATTGCATCAACCAGAGAAGCAAATAACTACATCAAGACCATAACAGTAAATTGTGGAAGCAAACACCAAGGGAAAATTGCAAATTTTACAGATAAAACGTTTTCCAGATGACTTGTACTCAACTCATGTATATATATGGATCGAGTCCTGTTCTCAACTAAATCCGAATTCATTCAAAGAGTTTGTTGATATTCAGACACAACTCTGTTATATGATTCTAAAGCTCACTCATTTCATGATCATATTCAATCATCATATTATTGCATCTGGTGCATATGCACGTTTGTGTAACACATGACCATCTTGGGCACACCTCGACTAATTTCACAGAATATCTGACACCTCACACCAACAACACGTACCAGATAACTCTATCTACCAAGGCTAGGACATACATGTTGAGACTCAATACTAGTACTAGTCTCACAATTGTTTCTATAAAAACATGTTTTTCGCTTTATTTAGGAGTCTTGATCATGTAGCCTTCATTTCAACAATCATATTATAATCCTATTCCATAGAAAAACATACATGAAACAAGAGATAGATCTTAAAAAATATCTAGTGTCACCACATCAAAAATGATCTTTAGCGGCAATTAATTAACGATAATATCTTAATTGCTGCTAAATGTGTTCTTTTAGAGACAATTAACATACTTTGTAAATGTCTCTAAAGTCTATAGCGACATTAATTGAATCCAATGGCAATTAACAAATATCGGCAAAAGGCTTTAGCACTCTTTATTAATGTACATACTTATTGCCGCTAAAAGTCGTTTTTGTTGTAGTATATAATCTCACAAGTAAGGTTTGGATATTAAAGGCAGGATGTACGTAGACCTTAGAGGTTGTTTCCGATAGACCTTCGACACAATGATGCATTACCAAAACAAGCTAGAAAGAAAAATAAAGGCAGCCATATAGATCTTAAAACAACATTATAAATTCACATGGAAACCATAAAATTTGCACAAAAATCAACAATTTCATTGTGAAAGAACAAAACAATATATATGTATATATACATACCTCCATTGATTTGGAGTTTGGAAATAGAGAAATTCTTTCTGGAAATGATTGATTTGATTATGTATTTTTCAATAGAATTAATTTCTCCTTCTTTCTTTTTTACAGAAGAAAAAAAAAAGGGAGAGCCTTTTTTCAAAAAAGGGAAAAAAAGAGAGAGAATCTCTCTCCTTTTTTTCTCTTTTTTTGGACTCTACAACTGAAATATGGAAATGAGAGATAAAAAAAGGGAAGGAGGAAAGATAGAAACCTAGCAGCTGGAATATATCGACAACCTCTTAAATTCATAGTAAATAATTCATCGAGAAATTCCAATTATAATATTCATTGATTAATCATCTGAATATATGTTAAGTAGGATATGAGGAGGGTAATATGTCCTTACCTCTACTTCAGAAATGATGTAGAGAGGCCGTTTTTTATAGACCATCGACTTAAGATAAACACTTTGGTAAAAATTACATTGATGTCGATGTGTTTGATTAAAGAAAAAAAATATCTTTATGTGATTAACTTATCTATATATTGGGTGATGATAAGCATGCGCAAAACCTTTTTCATGTACTAAAAAAAACATGTTATAGTTTGATTGTGTAAAATTTACTACAAATTTGAAGGATTGTGAATGTATTGAGTATAATCATCATTAGAGGTTGGAGTTAATGTGTCACACAATAGGAATTGAAAAAAATCTTGATCTTTTATGTGTACTAATTCATGAATTTTTTAAAGTATATGTGATCAACTTTGATTATTTTTACGAGTACATTGTTGACGATCTATTAAATGATACATATTGTTTTTGAAAGGCAAATGTCATTTTATGTATCATAAAACATAAATTTCATAAAATCTTTTTTTTTCGTGTGCATTAATTTATGAAAATTTTAAAATATGTGTGACCGACTATATTGAGCTTAAATATTGCAGGTCTGTTGGTGACAACTTAAATGATACTCATTGTATTCAAAAGGAACGTCGCTTTTTTGGAGTGTGTGTCATGAGACTAGAATTCAGAATTATCTTAATTTTTTGCGTGTATTAATTCATAAATTTTCAGAATATGTGTGATTGACTTTGTTTGAGCTTAAATTTTGTGGGTCCGTTGCTGACTACCTATTAAATGTTGCTCACTATTTTCTATGGGTTCACATCGCTTTTTTTAAAGCATATGTGTTACAAAATAGGAATTCAGGATTTTCTCATTTTTTTGTGTATTAGTCCTTAAATTTTCTGGAATATGTGTGGCCGACTGTGTTTCAGCTTAGATTTTTTGGATCCATTCAAAATAATCACTGTTTTTTAAAGGGGGCGTCGCAATTTTTGGAGTTTATGTGTCACTAAACATGAATTCAACAAAATCTCATTTTTTTTAGGAGTTTAGTCGATGAATTATTTTGTTGGTGTTTATATGTCACAAAATAGAAATTGAGAATAAATTTTTTTTCGCGTATATTAGTCTATGAATTTTTCGGAACATGTCAGGTCGACACTGATTGAAGTCAAATTTAGTGGATACATGTGATATACCTATTTAATAATATTCATTATTTTCAAAAGGCATATATCACTTTTTTTAAAATTTATGTATCACGAAATAGGAATGTAAATTATCTTGATTTTTCTAATGTATTATTAGTCCATAAAATTTTTGAACTATGTGTGGCCGACTTTGCTAGATCTTATACTCATTATTTTCAAAAAGAGGACATCGTTCTTTTTGGAGTTTATGTGTCACGAAATATGAATTAACGATTATCTCAATTTTTCATTAGTCCCTACATTTTTTATAATATGTGTGACTAACCTCTTTGAGCTTAAATTTTATGGGTTAATTTGTAACGACCTATTAAATGATACTTATTATTTTTGAAAAGTAAACGTCGTCTTTTTTGAGTTTATGTGTCATGAAATAGAAATTCTAGATTATTTTTATTTTTTGTGTGTTTTAATCGATGAATTCTTTTGGAATGTACCCATTGTGTTTGATCTCAAATTTTCTGATTGCATTGGTGACGACCTGTTAAATGATACTTATTATTTTTTAAAGTAATGCGTCATTTTTTTTTGGAGTTTTTGTGTCGCAAAATGTGAATTCAAAAGAATCTCGAATTTCAGTGTGTATTAGTTGTGTTAAAAAATACAAAATAATTTAAAAGTAATAATATATTTCTCACCATAAAGAGCAAATGGATTGCAATAAAATTCCAACGTGAACCCATAAAATTCAAATCTTAGATATAAATATATACTAGACTTACCAGAAAATACACCAATGAGTTAGCAATTTTAATGACTATATCGGATATTATTATGAAAATCATAGCAAGTACATGGATATAGCATCAATGAAATAAAATAACAAAAAAATAAATATCTCAATAATATAATATTGAACTTTATATGGGTTCACCTTCTATAACTGATAACTAATTAGGATGACTCAACCGACTCCCACCAACCATTAATTTTGTTTCAAACATTAAATCCCAAATCTGAGGATGAAGCTCCAATTTCCAATTGATTCAAGCGATTCTGCATATTAAAAACAAAAGTCTCCAACCAAGCCTCAAAAGTTGACACTTTATCTGCATTGAGCTGCTCAATCGACTCCCACCAACCTTTCTGTCTAGCTTCAATCACTTCATCATATGATTGTTTCTTAGCAATTTCAATGTCTTCTATGGTATCAAGTTCTTCAAGCCTACTTTTGAGTTCGTTCACTTTTTCTCGATTATGAGCAGCGACTAGAAGGGTACTTTCACTTGGTTCCATATTGAGATTCTGAAAACGAGAAATAACTGCATCAACATTTGGGTGAAAAAACGAGAAAGGATTACCTGTCGGAGAAAAAAAAATCATTCCAATATCGACATCGCATTCAAATACGAGATCGCTAGCCTTTTTGTATAAACTCGTACGACGCTTTGAGAAGCTAGCATAGAGGTTATCTTGCTTTTCTATTTTTTTCATTGGTATCTTTTGGCGTCCTTTACTTTTCTTATTCTCCATGGCTAAATTTATCACCAAAATGAATAAAAAATTATTAATGAAATGTTTAATGAGAAATGATATTTAAGAGAAGGGAGATGTCACAACTATTTATATACATCAAAATTTTATTGCATTAAATATCTTTCTAAATATTATATTGGAAAATGATCTGTTATACAATCAATTTTATTCTTAATATATGCTTTCCATATCAATCATATCAGTGAAATCTAGACTAACTTTAAATCATTGAATAAAATAAAATCTAGACTTTTAAGTTAAATCATTAAATAAATGAAATCTAGACTTTTAAATTAAATTAATAAATAGAATGAAATTTAGACTTTTAAGTTAAATCAATAAATAAAATGAAATCTAGACGTTTAAGGAAAAACAATAATAGTTTACTACACTCATATTATTTATCAAGTTAGAAGGACCAAATATAAATATAATTTGAAGGAACACCAATTACATACCAAATATTATCAAATTTTATAGATAAGAACCAAATATTCATATATATTAACAAAAACAAATTTAATATTAACCAAAACCAAAGAATAATCTTTTTTGTGTTTAATGAATTTTATAATGTCTAGGTAGTTAGCAACTTATTGAACTTAGAAGTGATATAAATTTCATACCAAATCCTTGATATGCATCAACATCAAACAAACATTATTTTGAATAAGATTTGAAATATTAATTTGAATAGATAAATGTTTTTATAAAATATGACAATGAAAAATCAACTTCCTATGTCTATTAACATTAACCAAAACTGAATTTGCTTCAATTGGTACATGTTCAACATGCTTGTTAGGGATGACAATAGAGCGGGTTGGGGTGGATGTAGCCCCATCCTACTCCGTCCCGCCCCGCTTATGTTGTATCTATTTTTTTCCTTTTTTTATTTTGCTAAAAGAATACACAAATTTAACATTTTATTATAATTTTTTAAGAATGAAAATTCAGTTGAATTATTTCCTCGATTATTATTTTGCTAAAACACGTCAATTTAATAGTTTCTAGACCTCTAGGTGGTAAATGGTAATATATCATAAATAAATTGATCAGTTCGGTTTACAAATAATTTCAAAGAAATTCTAAGAACTAAAATCCAATTAAGAATTTTGATTATAACAGATCATATAAAAAGGTACTTGTTCGAAATCATAGACAAAGAGAGAACCAACAGATTAGACTAGTAAATTGAAAGAAAAAAGTTTTAACCCGCCACCTCCCTCAAGCGGCTCAATTTTTCGTGTGTATTAGTTCAAGGATCGGCGCCTTGGAGTATCAAAAAAAATTCTGAAATTTTTTTATGAGGACCTCCATAATGAGTTGAGGAATCATCACGTATACACATACCATTTTTTAACGTCCATTTCCGCATTTACAGGACTTTTTTTATGAATCACTCAAAATTCTCAATTTTTTGTGTGTATTAGCCCATGGATCTGACACCTCAGAGCACCCAAAAGTTTTTTTCTCAAAAAGCTTTATGAGGACCTCCATAATGAGTTGGGGAACCATCACGTATACTCGCACCATTTTTTAACGCCTATTTCCGCAATTGCATTCCCTTTTTAGGAATCGCCGAAATTCCTCAATTTTTCATGTGTATAAGCCCATGGTTCTGGCGCCTCGGATCACCCAAAAAAAAATTCTCAAAAAATTTATGAGGACCCCTATAATGAGTTGGGAACTATCACATATACTCGCACCATTTTTTTAATGTCTTTTCCCGTATTTATAGACATTTTTAGCAATCACGCAAATTCCTCAATTTTTTGTGTGTATTAGATCATGGTTTTGGCGCCTCGGAGCAACCAAAATGTTTTTTCTCAAAAAACTTATGAGGACCTCCGTAATGAGTTGGAAAACCATCACGTATACTCGCACCATTTTTTAACGTCTATTGCCACATTTACAGGCCTTTTTTAGGAATCACGCAAATTTCTCAATTTTTCGTATGTTTAGCCCATGGATCTGATGCCTCAGAGCACCAAAAAAAAAATTCTCAAAAAATTTTATGAGGATCTCCGTAGTGAGTTGGGCAACCATGCATCACGTATACACACACACCATTTTTTTTAATGTTCATTTCCGCATTTACAGGCCTTTTTTGTAGGAATCACCCAAATTTATCGTGTGTATTAGCCCATGTATTTGGTTCTCTGAGCACCCGAAATTTTTTTCTCAAAAAACTTTATGAGAACCTCCGTAATGAGTTAGGGAACCATCGAGTATACTCGCACCATTTTTTAACGCCTATTTACGCATTTACAGGCCTTTTTAGGAATCACGCAAATTCTATAATTTTTCGTGTGTATTAACTCATGGATCTGGCACCTCCAAGCACCAAAAAAAAATCTCAAAAAAAATTATGAGGACTCCATAATGAGTTGGGGAACCATCACGTATGCACACACCACTTTTTAACGCCTATTTCCGCATTTACAGGCCTTTTTTAGAAATCGCTAAATTTCTCAATTTTTCTTGTGTATTACCCCATGGATCTGGCGCTTCAAAGCAGTCAAAAAAAATTCTCAAAATACTTTATGAGGACCTCCATAATGAGTTGGGGAAACATCACGTATACCCGCACAATTTTTTTAACACCTATTTCCGCATTTACATGCTTTTTTTAGGAATCGCGTAAATTCCTCAATATTTTGTGTATTTAGCCCATGGTTCTGGTGCTTCAGAGCACCCAAATTTTTTTCACAAAAACCTTTATGAGGACCTCTGTAATGAGTTAGGGAACTATCACGTATTCTTGTACCATTTTTTAACGCTTTTTCCGCATTTACAAGCCTTTTTTCGAAATCGCGCAAATTCCTTAATTTTTCGTATGTATTAACCCATGGTTCTTGCGCCTCAGAACAACCAATTTTTTTTCTCAAAAAACTTCTGAGGACTTCTGTAATAAGTTGGGGATTCATCACATATACTCGCACCATTTTTTTAACGTCTAAATCTGCATTTATAGGCCTTTTTTAAGGAATCACGCGAATTCCTCAATTTTTCGTTTATATAGCTCATAGATCAGAGCACCAAAGAGTTTTTCTCAAATAATTTTATGAGGACCTCCGTAATGAGTTGGGAACCATCACGTATACACGCACCATTTTTTGTAACACCCATTTCCGCATTTACATGTCTTTTTATAGGAATCGCCCAATTTTCTCAATTTTATTGTGTGTATTAGCCCATGGATCTAGCCGCTCAGAGCACCTAAAATTCTTTTCTCAAAAAACTTTGTGACAACCTCCATAATGATTTGGGGGACCATCACGTATACTCGCGCCATTTTTTAACACGTATTTCCGCATTTACAGACCTTATTTTAGGAATCGCGCAAATTCCTTAATTTTTCGTGTGTATTAACCCATGGTTCTGGCGCTTCGGAGCACCCCAATTTTTTTTGAATGATACTTATTATTTTTTAAATGTAAACGTCGCCTTTTCTGAGCTTATGTGTCTAAAATAGGAGTTCGAGATTATTTTTATTTTTTGTGTATATTAATTGATGAATTTTTTGAAATGTGTCATGACCGATTGTGTTTGATCTCAAATTTTCTTATTACATTAGTGGCGACCTGTTAAATGATACTTATTATTTTTTAAGTCATGTGTCATATTGTCTGGAGATTATGTGTCACAAAATGAGAATTCAGAAAATCTCAAATTTCAATGTGTATTAGTTGTGTTAAAAAATACAAAATAATTTAAAAGTAATGATATATTTCGCACCCAAAAGAGCAAATGGACTACAATAAAATTTCCTCAAACCCATAAAATTCAAATCTTAGATCAAAATATATACGAGACTTACTAGAAAATACCCCAATGAGTTAACAATTTTAATGACTATCTGATATTATTATGAAAATCATACCAAAGTACATGGATATAGCATCAATGAAATAAAATACAAAAAAATTAAATATCTCAATAATATAAAATTGAACTTTATATGGGTTCACCTTCTATGACTAAGAACTAATTTGGATGACTCATGTATAATTTTAATTTTGTTTCAGACATTAAATCCCAAATCTGAGGATGAAGCTCCAATTTCTAATTGATTCAAGCAATTTTGCATATTAAAAACAAAAGTCTCTAACCTAGCCTCAAAAGTTGACACTTTATCTGCATTGAGCTGGTCAATCGACTCCCACCAACCTTTCTGTCTTGCTTCAATCACTTCATCATATGATTGTTTCTTAGCGGTTTCAATGTCTTCTATGGTATCAAGTTCTTCAAACCTACTTTTGAGTTACTTTTTCTCGATTATGAGCAGCGACTAGAAGAGTACTTTCTCTTGGTTCCATATTGAGAGTCTGAAAACGAGAAACAACTGCATCAACATTTGGGTGAAAAAACGAGAAAGGTTTACCTGTCGGAGAAAAAAATATCATTCCAATATCGACATCGCATTCAAACACGAGATCGCTAGCCTTTTTGTATAAACCCATACGACGCTTTGAGAAGCTAGCATATAGGTTATCTTGCTTTTCTATATTTTTCATTGGTATCGTTTGGCGTCCTTTACTCTTCTTATTCTGCATGGCAAAATTTATCACCAAAATGAATAAAAAATTATTAATGAAATGTTTTAAGAGAAATGATACTTAAGAGAAGGGAGATGACACAGCTATTTATATACATCAAAAATTTCATTGCATTAAATATCTTTCTATATATTATATTGGAAAATGATCTGTTCATCATAGTGAAAATAGGAAATACAATCAATTTTATTCTTAATATATGTTTTCCATATCAGTGAAACCTAGACTAACTTTAAATCATTTTGAATAAAATAAAATCTAGTCTTTTAAGTTAAATCATTAAATAAATAAAATCTAGACTTTTAAGTTAAATTAATAAATAGAATGAAATTTAGACTTTTAAGTTAAATCAATAAATAAAATGAAATCCAGACTTTTAAGGAAAAACAATAAATAGGTTTACTATGCTCATAATATTTATCAAGTTGGAAGGACCAAATATAAATATAGTTTGAAGGAACACCAATTACATACCAAAGATTTTCAAATTTTATGGATTAGAACCAACTATTCATATATATTAACAAAAAAAAACAAATTTAATATTAACCAAAACAAAAAAAAAAAAAAAACAATCCTTTTGTGCTTAATGAATTTTATAATGTCTAGGTAGTTAGCAACTTATTGAACTTATAAGTGATACAAATTTCATACCAAATCCTTCATATGCATCAACATCAAACAAACATTATTTTGAATAGGGAAAAAGGTCTGAAATATACCCGAACTTTGACTGAAATTGTTGTAACAATATCAAACTTTGGGAAGGACCTTTTACCCTGCACTATTTAATAATGTATTTTAAAGGTATATATGTGCCCACGTGGACATCATAAATATTGCATCATTATAAATAGTAACTTGTCCACGTGGACACATATATACCTTTTAAGTACACTATTAAATAGTGCAGGGGGTTTTAGGTCTTGCTCAGAGTTTGAGATTGTTACAGCAATTTCGATCAAAGTTCAGATATATTTCATCGGTCAAAAGGAGTGACATGATTCCGGGGCAATCGAGTGCATTTCAGAAAAGAAACTTACAAGTTAGAAAGTTGAAAAACTTACGAGTTGACCAAAGTCGATATTTGAGAGAAACGAACTCAAAGTTGAGGTTTGAAAATTCCTAGTGGTCCAGTCCAGATGGTGATTTAGAACTTGGACAAGTCTTGTGAGTTGTATACTAGTTAAATTGAAAACAAAAGTCATCAACGATCAAATATGTGTCTAGCCAATCCCAAATAGATCTTTTAATTTTTTCCAACAAAGACTGATTGTAGTGATTTGAGTCTAGTAACAAGTATCACGAAAACTATCATGCTTCTATTATCCTGACGTGATTTTTTATTTTTAAAAGCCATTCCGCTAGGCTAAGTGTGCCTAGAGCTAGTTTTTTATTAATAAAGAAAAAAGCACCTCAAAAAGAAGTACAATCAAGGAAAGCTAAGCCTTGCCTTACTAATCATGACGTACAAAGCTTTCGTTACTAAAAATACCATCTTTCCCGAGGATAAAAACTGACCAACAAAGGTCAAAAATAGTGGACTTTCAACTAAAAACCAACCAATTTGTGGAATCAAAAAACGACTATTAACCATTGTTTCCTCCCCTTTGGAGAACTTGACAATGTAAGAACACACCATTAACCACCAACTGCCAATAATGCATATGGCAATACACTTGCAGTTTTCAACATATTAACTAGGTATTTATACGAAACAACGCCAGTTTTTCACATTAAAAGAATATGAAAACGAGAATGCAGCAAATGTGCTGCATTTGTTTCCACTTCCAGTTAAACCTCCCCAGAGCAGGAAAGATTGAAAAACTGTGCACAAAGTGAGATTGCTACAAGGTGTATCATTACAGAAACACAAGATATACACATATTGAGTCACTCTGTAGTTGTTTTAAAACAGAAACGAATCCAAATGCGGTTGTAATTGCAGCATCTGCAAAAATAACCTTTCTTCCGAAGCTAACTTCTTATAAAGTCTCTGTTGATGACTCATGAACTCCAAAAACAAATCTTTTGCCTGGTTTGCTTTTCTGTATGCTTCACTTCCTGAGTGAACTATTATCAAGTCTTGGCAGATACTTTTTGCCTGATATATATCCTACACAATAACGAGAAGACGCAAGGGGGAGAGCAGTCAGCCTCAATAAACTGAAATCAAACATTTGATGTATATAATATGAAATACACATGATAAAAAATCACATGTTCAGGGCTTGAAGCTCCTCAATAAGTTTAAAATTCTTTTAAAAATTATTTCCTGCAATCCTCAAGTATTTGCTTTGTATCTAGACTAGTCTGTCCAATCAAGACTCCACCACACATCACATCGAACGAAACCAATTTCACCTCATCAGCCTAAAATTCACTTTCTTTTTCTTTATTGCAAGTACATCTTATTTCTTTTCCTTCTGGCTTCTTCATTGTTGTATTTCATTTCCATACTTGATTTTGATTTACTTTACTTGAGCCGCATGGGTATAGGTAAGGCTATGCATACACCACACTCTCCAAACCCCACTTGTGGGATTACACTAGGTATGTTGTTGAAGCACTTTCACAATTATGTGTAAAAGCACATTTCTCAAGACCATGAGTATACAAATTTACTACAGATATATATGATTCCTAAATCTTAAGAGCAATTGATCCCACATCCTCAGCTCTCCTGTTATCTCGCAGTTAACGTCAATCTAAATTTGACTGGTGACAACTGGGCATCCAGTTTTTCACTAGGAACGAGTAACTATCAGATATGCATGCTTCTAGATTATCAAGAAACTTCATGTATATGATATTTTCCAATATGTCAACCAAACTCATTTCTGAAGTAGCACTGGCAGTAGGATGTGCTCAATTATGGCTCATTTGTTGTCCTATAACCATTATTAAATTAACCAATACATGGTATGAATCTTACCTGGGAACTGTACATTAAGCTCCCAAGTGATGTCTTAATCATGGATTGTCTCATATCTCTTTCACTTATAACCATCGGCCTGTAAAAGGGAAATGGAAAAAAGTAAATAACCCATTAGGCATTCGTCAATCTAGAAGACATATGAACATCATGAAAATTTGGCTCTTAAGTGTTAAAATGAAATAGGATCTACACATTTAGCAAAAATTATAGAGCTATATTTAAGGATTTCAGAATATCTGAATTACAGAGGTATGTTAAACTACATTAAAAAATAAAGACCCAAGACGGTGCACACAGAACCAAAGTGTAGCACTTCCTTTCCAGCCCTTTCACCTTTAAAGTAGATATCGGGGATGATAGAATAAAAAAAACTTTCAACTTCTGAAAATGAGAAAAAAAAAACAAAAACAAATAGTGTCTCAGTGAACATGACATTTTTTCAAGCAACCGCTAGTTAAAAATTGGGAAAATAGTCTGTGTGGCCATATTTGTACATATCAATTGTGGACACCCAAGGCTAGCTAGGACAGATTGGAACAAGTCGCCTAGTGATTTTTTTGTCTCTGCAGGGATTAGAATCTGAGAATTCATGATTCATAATCCACTTCATTGACAACTAGGCTACACACTACGGTGCTCAGAAACTTTCTTTAGTGTCTGTTCTTTCTTTTAATAGACTATAATATGACAGACCGGAACATAGGATCTTGAAATACCTATATCACAGGAACTCTAAACGGTAAACAGCATTGAATGTGAAAGGCAAGTGCATTTAACAACATTTGAGCTAGAAAAGAAGTAGCAGTAAACAGAAGTTGAGGACATTTTGTAGCGTTTCATTGAAGCTAATTTGCAGAGTAAAACGAAGTTTTCAACTACATATATAGAGAAATCTGGAAAAACAAAATAGTGCAGAATGCATAGAACTTCAAGCGATCCCCAAAAATAATTGGGTGAATAGCATATGAAACTATATTTTTAGTCCAGAGAGATCTTTCAAAAACAATCCCAACTAGTCACCAAAAGTGTAGCAGTAGTACCTAGCGTGGAATTTCAGACTAATAAATACCATCTATAGGAACCCTTACAAGGACTCAACCATTTCAAATGTTGTGCTTTTCTTTTTCTTATTAAAGATGGATACCATTCTAGAACCTCTAGTTCAACTTCGGATCAGTTTTGACTGTCAGCGAGAGAGAGAGAGAGAGAGTCTAACTGCAGATGCAGCTTAAATAACAGCAATTCGGGTGTCCAAATTGCAGAAGCACCAATATTATCAACAAAAGAAATTGCAGAAGCAACTAAAATCAGATGGCATTGAGCAGGATATCACTTTCACCAAAGTAAATTCAGGACCAAGAAAAAAGGCTGATGCTACTGATGCAACCACAGAGCAGGCCTCAAACAAGTGGTGCGGCGAATTTTACTAAGGTTTTAGCAAATCACAAGCTCAGGAAATGTAAGCATGCCATACTTCAATTCTTTTTCCCAAAAAAATGGAAAAAAAAAAGTTTGAGAAGACAAGCATGCTTGATAAAACTTTACATCATGAATACGTGCCGACGCTATCTACACATCTAAAATAGTTCAAGTGGCTGGTAATTGTGGCACGGAAGCTCTTCTAAGCAGAATATCCAAAAAAGGTATTTTAGCAAGTTTGATCCACGCCAAGCATGATTTTTAGCTGAATGAAAATGTGTTTTAGCTCATAATCTGTATAGAGGCAGGAACCAATGATTCTGATACACCCATACAACATAACTCTAATGGAAGATAGACTTTTTTTTATGAAGTAAGCATCCAGTAGATGCAATACGCAGGGGGATCAGTCAGCTAAGAACAAAAAACTTCCAGAGTTGAGCTGACAAAATCCTGGTAGTGATCTAAGTTATTTAGAGGGGAAGAGTTAGCCCAGCTAAAAAGGTTAACCAAACAACAAGCCTTACGCCTAAAAATTGAGTTAAAACTCCATCAATAAATCTCCTATTTTCATTCCACATACACCAAAAAATAAGGGCTGGGGTCATGATCCAGATTTTTCTGATAGATTTTCTAACAGGAGATAGATTCTAATAAATACAAGTCTAATACATGTGGTAATGGTATAGAACACATGAATGAAGCCTAAATATTAATAATAAAAAGATCTTTTGAGTGAAGACACTAGAATGTAAAGAGAGAAGGTTACAAAAGGATCAACAACTACTTAGAAAGGAAACTAATTCTGGAAACGTACCTTCCCTTTGAGGACACAACCAGGTGTGTTGGATTGTCCAAAAAATGGTTTATTTCTTTAAGCTTCTCTTCACAATCTACCACGATAATGCCTCGTGCATAGGGCATATATGACGGGCAGGGGGAAATATATGCTTGTGACCAAACAGAAGTGTGCTTATGTATGAAATCTCTCAATGACGAAGGGAACAAGGTTCTCTCCAAGTTCTCGACTAGCATGAGATGATAATTTGAACATTGTCCTCCTAGATCTTTATCATGATCCCAATGCCTTCTTGAGTCTGTTGCTGCAGTTCAGAATGAAGAACTTAGAAAAAGTGCAATTACCACATCGTAACAGGTGATGGAGTTCCGTAGCACACCTTCTGTTGTACATCTCACGTCAACCGCATTCTTGGCACTGCTAATCCCCTACAAGGAAAGGAAGAGGAGAATGACCTAGGCACATGCATTATCACTCAAATTACTGAATTAGAACCTGATAACTTGCCTTAAAGGACGAATCTGACTTTTGTTCAGAAGACAAATATCTGACTCTTTTTGTACGGAATGATCCTTTGGATGCTGAATTGTCTTGCTCAGATGTAGAAGTTGACTTGCAAGAAGATTTTCTGAGTTTCTGGTTTGCCAATTCCAAGAAGGAGGATATTCTAGGATCAACTTGTGCTGTGCCTTTTATGATACATATGCCTTCAATTCCAGAATTAGCCAAGTCATCCTTTTTTGGGCCATGAAGCCAGGATAGTACAAAGGTACATACACACTCCTCCCCTCCATTGTGAAATGTATGGTTCTCGTTATGTATCTACCAAAGAGAGGAAGAAGAAAATTTGAAGAAAGTGAATTAAGCCAATGAACCAATGTGAATCAAGTAGCCCTCTCCTTTTCCTCTTTGAGTCCTACTACTTTGACTTTATATGTTATGATAAACCCACATTTAGAGCAACAAATAAAACTGATACAAACTTTAATGAGGTTCAGCAATGATGTCAACGTCCTCAAGAAAGACGGTAAGAAAATTTCAGTATGCTCAAAAGAACAACAGCAACAATCTTTTTCCAAATTCTTAGAAACTTTAGTCCCCAATATGTTCACAAACCCACTCGCTTATTTTGTCTCACACTCTATCCCTCTTCCTTTTTCTTTTCATATCACACCCTAAACTGTACAGAAACACTACTAGAATGATCATTGTCCTTTAAAGATTTTTTTTTTTTTATCACAGATAAGGAAATACTGAGAAAAGAGTCTGCAGTATCTTATTAATATCAATTACCATAAAACTCAACCCACATCAACAATTGCTCCCTTTGCTTGAGCCTTGAAGTCCTCCATTATCAACAAGGAATTATCTCATCACACCATCTTGCCAAATTACCTTCACAAGGCATCACCTAGTACTGCCAACTCCAACTGAGTCTTGGCAATGCCTAGACTACGAACCGAAACTGCCTTGATCATAATATCTGATGGATAGACATTGTAGAAATCTTTTGACAACTATAATACCACTGGATACAATATCTCTACTGAAGTGATATTTAACAACAATATTCACTGTACGCTCATGTTACACTCATTCTTAGTGAGATGAATGGCACTCTGACTGTAACAAAATATTGATGCCTTGCTCTTTTTTAGCCTGAATTCAGTCACTTGGCCACAATAACTGCTTATCAGCCTAACTTCATTCATCAACCTGTGGCCAAATAAATGTTTTATTGCATCCGTAAGAGAGCCACTTACACAGACTCCATGATAGACAATGCAACTTTAGTTTGCAAAGTTGCATTCCAATTGACATCACCAGTCACCACCACAATGAGTAAGCAAGTAGCCTGTTAAATATCTCCTCCTACACAAGTCCTCAACATAGAATGAATATGTCATCTTGCTTTTCGCTGAATGTCAGACCAATATCTGTACTACTCTTCAAATATATCCAAATTCATTTCACTGTTTACTACAGCTCAAAAAATTGCTTCATTATCTGCTACTGCTTTTTTCAAGGACATGCCAGATTTCTACTCACCTGGGGTGGATGTAGGCTTTAAGGGTTCACCAGATCCCAATAGTGTTGGCCCATACCATGTATATGTGCTAAGAGATTCACTAAATATGTACAGAAATAAAAGTCAGAACTCATTACTAGAACTTGAGATTGTCCGTATCCCATAAAGGCCAAATCTTGGATCCATGCTACTCACCACACTAACAACATAAAACATGTTCGGACACTGCACTACATAATGCTACCAGTGCATATTTTTCAGCGTTACTTCTTATCTTAAGACCCTTATTCTATATGGTGATTCTCCATAATCAAGAATTTGGTTGACACCCTTGCTAGTTTTGTCTATTAACACATTATCATTTGCGTATAGCTTATGCAATGGAACCTCATGCTATATATCGTAAGTTAAATCCTATAACTAAAGTGAGCAAGTACAGAACTACATGCTCAATATCAACCCCTGGTGAACCCATAATAATGGGAAATTCCTTGTATATCCAATTACTGTTCTCACGCTAGTTTTTTTGAAAATGCACTTTCATACATATCCATAAGTAATTTTTGTTTTGTTGTAACTTGTCAATAACATAAAAGTTCAACATTCTTATTTCATGCTTTTTTTGATAGTTGAAAAGGCACAGAAGATTACTTGCAACTGTTGATAACAAGGAAATAAACACTCCATTTAGAGCTGACACATCAAAAGAAAAGTACATATGCCATGAAAATGTTGCTCTAGTGAGCTTATAATTCGGTATGACTGAAAAAATTGCCTAAATCACAAATTAGTGATCAACTCATCAACCAGACAACCACATGAACACTATGTATCCTTGATTTCTAAGGATTCATCATACTTAGACTATGTGAACCTACCTCACCTTCCTCCTTTATCCGTGCTTAGGACCTATGCAATGCTAAAAGATAACATATGCGAGTTGATTACTTTGAAATGACAGTGAAGAAGTTAATACCAAGTAATATTAATCAAGATGCCTCAATCCTGAATTAGATGTGATCAACCACAAAATCCTCTGTATCCTTGAATTCAAAGGTTCATCATAGATAGATTATGTCAACCTTCCTCACCTTAACTTCCTCCTTTCTAAGTTGCTCGGACTCTTCACTTTTGGTGACGCACCCATGTCGACACGATGTGGGTGTGGGTGTGGGATCCATACCCGATCTGGTCAATCGGTACTGGATACTTTGACCAAATTCAAGGGAGAAATTCTGGGCAGATTCAATGATTTTTGTAATCTTATAACCTAAGATGAAATTGAAGAAAATGAAATACCTTGTATATATAAATTTCTATTATCACTCCCTTTCCTTTTATCTCCTTCCAAGATTCTCCTCTTGATCATTATTTTCTCCTCGAGTTTTCCACATAATATCTCATAATTTAGGCTTTATACCTCTATGTTTAGCCGAATCCCCGCACCTGTATCCACACATGGATCCATATCCCCGAATCTTAAAATTAGGTCACAGAGGATCCAACCTCTAGATCCGCACCCGTATTAGACACCCGCACCTGAGTCCGAGCAACTTAGCCTCCTTTTATTCCATGACTAGGACCTCTATGTTTACAGAATATTCAGATAAATTTCTAGAAAGGCTTAATACATAACCAACCCTTAAACTTTAGACACTCGAACTAAGTCAAAATTCAATTGAACATCTCAACTCCTAATAAAGTGTTCCAATTAGACACTTAAGGTTCAAATTTTGGAAAAAAATGTGTCCTCTCATTCTTCTATTAAGTAATTGAGTCAAGCATACAAAATATGTCATGCATTTGTCTCAGTAAGCCATAAAAGCCCGATATTTTCTACCTGAGGTTGATGATATATTACTTGTAGTTAACTTAAATATCTAATAGATGAATGAAAACATGCACAAATTTTTTTCAATTTGACAGCATATCGAGTTAAAGGTGTTCAATTTGAACATGACTTAGTTCGAGTGGAATATTCTGCCACTGACTATGTGTTAAGCCTTCTGAAAACCTATGCTCATACTCAACATCTGGAACTGAGAATTGAACAGCATCAGAATGTAATAGAAATAGCTACCTCGATTAAATACATCTCAAAAAAAAAGAAAAAAAAAATTCTCATACTTCAAACAGTTCATAACTCACCGCTTCAACAACGGCATCGTAGAAGAGCATATCATCTTTGCCGAAAGCATTACAAGCCGCACAGACAATCATCCCTTCCTTAACACTACCGCATTCATTATCCTGTAGCTGTGGCGAGACATTCCTAAACTTCCTGACGAATTCATCGATTTCCTCCTTCGATTTGAAGTCATCAGCAAGGAATTTCACATCGAATTTTTCCGAATATCCCTCGAACTTCACCGTCATCGTTTCACCGTCCACCGTGACTAGCACACCGTACCATGAGTCATCTCCCTTGTACCGATGCTCTAAATCGTACTTCGCCGGATTTCCGTCGGATTTTTTCATTTCCGGCACCGGTAAATTCTTACAAATCTTCTGGAAACTTCGAGCGTATGTGTACGTATCTTTGAAAATTGTGGGAAAATGGAATTTACAGTAATCCGTAGCTTTCCCATGTCATTTATTTATTTTATATTTATTTGCTTTTTGTTTGTTTTGGGAAAGGGTCAAATGCTTCGACTGCAACAACAACAATAACAAATTTCGGAGACGGAACGTATGCAAATTTTATTACTATGTTCATTATATGTAGAAATAAAGAAGTTATTTTTAAAAAAATTTTGATGTAAGTGTATCAAACTCAAGTAACATACTTAGATTGTAACAAAAGGTTTAAATATAGTACTCCCTCTATTCATTTTTAGTTGTTATGTTGCGTTTTCTGAAAGTAACTAATTTTCAATGTTAAATTAGATTACATTTATTCGATTTTTTTTTAAAAAAGATATTGAAAAACTATACGAAAAGTACTACTCTCTTCATTTCAAATTAATTGAATTTTTGAAACATTTTTCATTTTTCAAATTAACTTAATTGTTCAATTTTCAAGACTACTTTTAGAATATTCTTTCAATTTTACCCTTCATTAGTTAGTATTGGAATTAGTTATTAATTAATGTTTAGTTATTTTAATCATAAATTTGACAATAATTAATAAGGGTAAAAATGGAAAGTTATGCCTAATTTATGTCTTAATCTTCTTTTTTTAAAGAGTGTGAAACACCTCAACAATTCAATTAATATGAAATGGAGGGAATATAAATTGTAATTTTTTACATATCGATATGATGAAAAAATACATCGTAAAATGTTAATCAAAGTTTTTATCATTTGACTTAAAAAGAAAATATCATGGCAACTAAAAGTGGATAGCTAGGAATACTTCATTTATTCACTTTTTTTGGCTCATTTATGTTGTTTAGACTAATTGTCTAATGAATTGAAAAAAATATATTTAAATTTCCAGTATAATTTTATTATTGATTTAATTTTAGATTCGGATTTTAATTAAATAAATTTATCCATCCAATTTTCTGGCTTACCACACCCAAATTCTTACTAATCTTTGCTTTTTTTTATATATATATTCATCAAATTTATTTTTCATGAAAAAAGTCAAAATTTCAAAAGTTGAGTTCTACGAAAATAAAATTATAAAAAGAAAGGTAAATCCTAACCACATTTGGATCCTAGGATGCGTGATTCGATTTAGTTGAAGCTCCCGGCTCTGGACACCAGGCAAGAAACCAGAAACAAACCAAGAAAGGTAGCCAAGTTCACATTTTTCTTCAAAAACCACAACTTTTCTTGCACTATGTCAAAAATACACATTTGTGCTTATGCAAATGATCATATATCTGCACTACAATGTCCTGCTTTCATTCTTTACCTCAAAACACAAACCTTCTGTCTACAGAGAAATACTACACAATGTCACTGTGAAAACGAATACGAAGTTATAGTACAAAGTACACTAGAAAAGAATGAGGCACTTCGAAATCCTATAAATAATGCTTAGACATTGCTGGTCTGTATATGGCAAGAGCATTTAAACTTGTTCCTTCTCTGCATCATTAGGATTCTTTTGCGTGTTGTCAATGCTCGTATCGTTCCAATTCTTGAGCTCTTCTTCCGAGTCTTCAAGAGTAGTACTAAGATGTTGTGTCTTGTACTGATGTCTCGTGGAGAAAACAAGGAACACGAAGTAATTGAGCACTCCGAGTACTGCTAGCATCCAGTAGAAGTAGTCTAGCTTACCGTTGTTCAAGTTGTTTTTAAGCCAGCTTCCGTTTGTTACCTTATGTACAATTGACACTAGTAAGCTACTAATAAAAAATCCCATTGAGAGCGTGCTGAGGAATAACCCGGTGCTCATTGATTTCATCCCTTCTGGTGCTTCCCTGATGAAGAATTCGAGTTGTCCAACGTAGGCAAAAGCTTCACCAGCACCAACAATGAAAAACTGAGGGACTAACCAAAATGCACTTATGCTATAATTGTGGTGTATCGCGTTTTCCCTTCGTTGTTTCTCAACAATAGCTGCAGCTACCATACCAACAATAGATAGTATTAGTCCAATTCCAACTCTTTGAAGGCTTGTGAGTCCTTGTCTATTGCCCGTGATCTTTCTAGCTATTGGTACGGTGACTCTTTCGTTTATTGAAGTAAACAAGAGTATAGAAATAAAGAGAAAGACGGAAAATGAGCCTGCTGGGATGCCAAATTTGCCAACATTTCGATTCATGAAGGTAGCTTGCTCGATACTGAAGGTGTTCATTTGAGAGTAGACAGTCCAAAAGAGTATACATGTAGACCATATAGGAATCAACTTAAGAACCATTTTCACTTCTTCGACTTGACTAACCGTTGATACTATCCATGAATTGATTCTGTTTTCATTTGCAACTGCATAATCATCAAGAATCGCTGCCTTGTCTAAACACCTGTTGATAACAAGAACACATTCATTAGCTTTTGTTCTTATGTCAGATACTTTTAATGGGAAATATACGAGTTTGGTCCAACGCGGACAATATCTCACCTCAGCATTTTTGTATGTGGTACTTTAGCATTGTGATATTCATTCAAGAATCCAGGATCAGAAGGGTGAGAAAATTTCCTCTTTCTCCAAGCCAAGATCAAAACTCTCCATATGATAGTCAAAGGACTTCCCTCTGGCTTCTTAAATCTATACAATGATGTTCCGCCAAGCAAAACCGCCACAGCTAGTATCATTGTGCCAGCTGATATACCATACCCCCACCCCCTTCCAACATTGTCTTGTATATACACTAGCACTGTCACAGCAAACAAAGATCCAAGGCTAATGCAGAAGTAGAACCTGTTAAAGAAGTATATCATGGCCTTGTTCTCTTTAGGATTCGACGAATCAAATTGGTCTGATCCAAAACCAGACACACTAGACTTGATCCCTCCACAACCGAGTGATATGGTGTATAATGCTGCGTAGAGGAGAGCAAGCTGCTGCCCGCTGGCTTCGATGCAGTGGCCTTTCGATCTTGAGTCGCATACGGGAGGCTTCATACTTGGGATGGATGTTGCAAGTGTCAACAGTGTTACTCCCTGGTTATAGACACAAAGAAGAACATATTATGTTACTTAAAAAGGCAAGTTTACACTCTCAAAAGTGTTGAAGACATAAATCAAATAAACCAGAAGTGCGCTCTCTCTGACAGTTTAAGCATCTATTTATACTAATCAAACAAATTAGAAGTTTACTCTCTCAAATAACTTAACCATCTAAGATGAGATAGTCACACAATTCTACTTGGTATCAGAGCAGGTAGAATACTGCAAGAACTTCCATGTGTTTGTTTCAATGTAAAAGAATCAAGCTCGCAAGTATCATTAAGTGAAACAAAAGGTATGCTCTCTCTAACAGTTTAAGCTTACCACAGCGGCTATGCAACCAAAGGTTGCAATAGTGGCATAACGTCCAAGTTTAGCATCAGCCAAGAAACCACCAAGCAGTGCAAGAAGATTGAGTGTTCCCATGAAATTAGTAACAATGTTGGCAGAATCAGAAGATGGAAGATGTAAATCTCCAACCAAGTAAGTCACCAAATTCATCGATATCCCCATAACACATATTCTTTCTGATAACTCTGTACCTGAAACAGAACAACTAAGTTAGACACTATAACAAACATTTTTGCCATGATCAAGAAAACAACAAAGTTAACTAGCCTACCTAGAATAAGCCCTGCACCAAGCCATCCTCCGGTACGCGATTTATCAACTGGATTTCCACGAAAATCGACTAGACCTCCATCAGTTGAACCATCTTTTTCAGCATGGTTATGAACCAAAACCTGTGATTGAATGATTGAATTAAAGAAAGATAACATAAGACACCATAACATGAACAATTTATCTACTTGAAATGAGTTTAGGATATTACCATTGTTAGTAGAATTTTTTATGTTTACTAAGAGAGAAAGGAGATAGAAGAGGATAGTTAATTTGTGGAATAAGCAAGGAGGGGAAGGTATATATTTATAAAGCAAAAAAAAATAGAAGAAAAATGAATGAATGATTAGGCAAAAAGTTTTAAAAAAAGGTAGGCATCTGTACAACAGAATTTCATGTTAAATATCTTTATAGATCATAAGGTAACTAACTGACTGATTGAGATATGATTATGTGGTCAAAATATTAACAAACCCCACTTAGATATAAGATTGAAAAATGTTATTTTTCTTTGATCAGAAAGTGCTTATCTCCACAGAAAACAGCATTATTTGGACCATATTGTAAGTTTGAAAATTTGGTGTTATCTCAAATAGGTGTTGTAACATGTGGATAAGTGGGAAAGAAATTTTGTGGGCAGCACTTCGGATCAATTGTAGCCTTCGAAACTCGGACTATCCTTCTCTAGTTAAATACCAGACTTAGGTCGCACAACATACATATACTAAGCCCTAGGGCGGTACGCGGACCAACCTTAGCTTGAATGTCACTTTATCAGGATTCAACTTGTTTGAAACAAAAACATAGTTATTACCATTGGATTTGACTTGGGAAAAGTGAAAAAAAAAAAGTCTTTGATGGAACTATAAAACAGTTAAGTGTTTTAAGATAAAATTACATACAAATAAATATGTCACACCTCTTTGCTACTAGACAAATGTGTATAGGAATATATGAAGCATCAATTCATGGATGAAATTATTTCGTGTGGTATGTCTCTAAAAAGTATGCCGACTAATCTTTTAATTTATTTCGGATGATCGAGAAATTCGTCTTGAGTTCAATTTTTAGGATCAATTATGCTTTTGAAACTCAAGAATAATAGTTTCGCTCCTCTACCTTTTTTTCACTTAAGTACCATGTATATAGTTCGCATGGAGCATGACTCAAATATGTGACCTAAGTCATAAGTCCCCCAATCTTGATCACTTGAACTAATTAAGCCCTATAAATGCATGTGAACTCAATATTTTTTGCTTATATCCTGTTTAAAAATTCACTAAATAACTATAAATATTTGATGTTAACTCAGTTATTATTAAGCAGAATACATAAACGTACCATTATTTTGGACTCGGCTGACATATATTGCCTCCAACTTTGAGCATGCATAAATAAACAATTAATCTTGTAAGAAATTGAATATACAGATACATGTATGCTACGTGTCATATACAAATCAGTTCAAGCCTATCTCACTTGAATTGACATGTAGGACGTCACATAGTATGTGTGTGCGTCCACTTATTCATTTTCTACAAATTTAAGTCTCTACTTATACATATCTAAAGTTAAAGCACATAAATATCACCAGAGGTCAAGATAATGGCACACATTTATGAAGTTGATATAGAAAATTCATAAATTTCAAATCTTGAACTGTTTCCAAAGAAACCGTGTCGGCAATTATAAATCATGGCTAGCTACGAATGGAATGCATCCAGCAATACACAAGCGTGTATATCTTGAAAACATAAACTTTATCATAAACACTGAATCTATAAAAGAAAAGTGATTATATTGTATACTTTTTGGATGATTTTTGGTCCACCATCATATGAATTGATTGGTCAATTATATTATTATATGTATGGTCATCAATATGATCATCTTTTTTTCATTTTTCTTGGCCAAAAGTTATTTGTCTGGATATTCCTATACCACTACTAGACCCTTAAACACTGTATTTGGGTCCCTTCTACTAATTATAGCACACATGACACATGTATAATGCTATCTTTAGTAATTTGGAAGTAGCCACATTAATGGTATTTTACCAAAAATATCCATCCTACTCTTGTTACCTAATTAGTATTTTTTTTAGAGAATACAACCAAGAAAAACTAAAATTAGTTGAGAAGTTCGTTGTTAATCTATTGTTAAACTAAATTTTGGTTCGTAGCTAACGATTTTTTTTATGATCAGTAATTAATCTATTGCTAAATAAGATTAGCGATGGATTTATTTGTTTTTTGTTATACAATTTGTACGTTGCTAATTCTTCTTTTTAGTAGTTTGATAATAATTGGATATGTACTTCCTCTGTTTTATATTAGACATAATACATAAACAGACACTTAAATTTGATTTTATCTGACAAGTACTTCAACTTTGAGAGTGCATATCTAGACATTTTAACTTGGTCTCAATTGACAACTAATTAAGCATTCCAACTCGTCCCTACTGTGTCTAGTGAACACCCAATGTTGACGTAGCATTATTTTTTGAGGTGGGTAGTAGATGATCATTTTGTAATTTAGAGTTTTCTACTAACACAGTGGAGACGGTTTGAGGTGTCTAGATATATATGCATATTCAAAGTTGAAGTGTTTATTACTTGTTAATTAACTTTGACTAACTTTGAGTGTCGGTTCATGTATTACAGCTTTATTTTGTACGTTTTTGTTTGACTAGCACAAAGTTAAGTTAATAAGGAAGACTTTTGAATTCTTGTGGTTCTAAACTTAAAATATGTATAATGTAAAAAAAATGTTCGTTAAATCTCGCAGGGTCTAAACATACTAAGTGAAATATTGAAAATAATCATGTTGGAATGTTGTCTCGATAAATGAAATCTTATAATATGTAAATTCAAATTTAATTAGACTCTAACATGAATATCAGACATCGGACGAAAAATCCAAAAAAAAGATAATTTCTATATACAAAACTTGTATAAGTAGTGCATAGTCGGCATCGTGCACTAGTTCCTTGCATATTTCTTTGCTACTTTTAGAAGTAGACTCTGTCTTTTGCTGCTTCATCCCTATTTATGACAAATTTTGTATGGTATGTTTATCTCCAATATTAGCTCCATTATCATATTTGTTTGCTATTTTCAGGCCATTATTTGGCGCGGATCGAAGATGTATCTAGAATTTTAAATCAATAGTTATGTTGTTGAGTATATATATCATTGTACTCGTTAATATATACTTTGTAATAGTATGTTTGATTAAGAATTTAGAACGGATTTATCTTGCTCAAGCGGGTCACGATATCAAATTTTTTAAATGGGGAACAACAAAACCAATATATAGAATTCGTTTTTGAGGTAAATTGACATAAATAAATATGTTTATTTATTCAAAATAAATAATTATATTTATTCAAAATAAAATAATTAGGTATTGAGTCTATCATTTGACACTATCTATTTGAAACCGTTTTGAAATGGTACTCCTATTATTGAACAAACCTTAAAACTCTTGAATTTGACTAATTACTCAAAGATTCATGTGGACTAAATTAAATGACATGTCATATTTTGTTGGCTAAATTTTAATAGGAATATAGGATAACTTTTGAATTGATATTTGCTCACATATATTTCAACCTTACAGACAACATATTATACTGTGTTCTAACATTTGTAACAATAACTTACAAAAAAAAAATTAGTTTAATAACGTTTTCTTATAAAAATTTTAATTTACTCAACAGATATTAGACCGTCGTACCCGAAAAATAATTTGACTTTATCTAATTTTTTGAAAATATCAGGAGTTGTGCCTATCTTGTAACGTTTTTATCATTGTTTTCTACTTTTTTGGCTTTTTGGCCGTCCAAGTCCAATTTAGGATTTTATATAACAATAATATTAAGTGCAAATCCCATTATCATTTTGACCACTCAAAACACATCCACACAATTGATTCAAATTCAGCCAACAATCAAAAAATCAAAAATGCACTTAGAACCTTACATTACAATTGGACTATTAGTATGTAACTGTCAGTCACGCAAAATTTTACTTAATGTTCATTTATATGTCACAATACGTGTTTGATTTTGAGATTTGTGAAGTTATAATAAGACCTTACTTTGTATAGTATATGTGGCGGGGATATAGTACTCAAGGGAAATGCGGTCAATTGAATCCCTTCTGTTGAAAAATTACACTTGCAATACAATTTATTTTCTTTTATTTGTTCATATATTTGTAAACTTTTTGAATCTCCTTGACTTTAACGAAGTTTACAGTACAGTAACAAAATTTATTTTAGATTGTAAGTTTGAAATCTCTTATTAAAAATTTTATTCCATAATATATATAGAATTTATTTTACGAAGTATGTCAGATGACTCCACGTGAACCAATGTGTCTCCACCACTTGTATATAGTGGTGTTAATTATTAAAGCAAATGTATTATTATTACTTTTCTTGTTTCTAGCTAGTTACCAAATTATTGATGGCTAGGAAGACTATAGAATTGAAAGATTTTTTAGAGTGCCTTGGCACCACACACAAATAAATGAACCTGCTTAACTTAACCACAAAATTAGTCAAATTTGAAGTGTATACTCTCAAGAAATTAAAATGAGGCAATTAGATGTTCCTTAGTGAATATGAATAGTCAATTATTAGCCAGCCATTAAAGTTTTTTTTGTTTTTTGTTTTTTTGGATTATATGTCATGCTAATTGGATAACCTATGCAATAGGACAATGAGTTGCCCTTAGATTGTGTCCTCTTATTTAAAAGGTGATCATGTTATAAGTTGTGAGTTCCTATTGTGATCACAAGTTGAGATTATAGTGATAATAATAAGAGGATTATTGTCAGATATTTATAAATATTTAGTGATTTTCTTAATTTATAATATATGTCTGGATATATAAAAGGTTTTGAATTTATGTGAATCTGTAATCAACATAGTAGATCCACCCTTGATTCAAATGATTTGGGGATCTCTGTGGGGCACTTAGGATTTAATTTGTGTTTTGCATTACTGTGCTTTTTTTTGTATTATGTGTAGTCAGGTTCTTTATTTTACATAATTTGTTTGTTGTTGTTCATTTCTATGTCCCTTTTTTTTTAAACTGCTTTGAAAGGTTTTATTTAAGTCGAGAGGGTCTATTAGAAATAATCTTTCTATCTCATGATATAGGGATAAAATCTACCCACACTCTATTGTCATCATTTTTCACTTGTGAGATTATGATATATTATTGTTGTTTATAGTTTAAAATTATAATTTTACACTATCTATATTGTTTTATACCCCCATTCAATGGTTAT